TTTTGTTTTCCTTTATTGTCCACACTTCACATAGTAAGTACATTCTTATAAATATATAAGTATACAAACAGTTTAAGAAGAAAGGCTTCTCAGTTAATTTAGTCTTGTTGGTACTATCTTTTTATATTCCTAAATGTTTTGCTTTATTTAGGATACCACAGAAAGGCAGGCACCAATATATTAACCTTGTCATCATAAATAGCAAAAACCTTTTTCTATTTTATTAAATTTCACAAATATTTAGAAGACTTGTATGTTACATACACCTTAATATAAAAATATGTACATCTACACAATGGAATACTATACTGTGCTACAAAATAATAAATTCTTACCATTTGCAACAACATGAATAGAACTGGAGGGCATTATACTAAGCGAAATAAGGCAGTCAGAGGAAGATAAATATCACATAATCTCACTCATTTGTGGACTATAATGAACAACACACACTGATGAAAAAAACAGATCCAGAGACAGAGAAGCATCGATCAGACTATCAAAACTCAGAGGGAAGGTAGGGAAGGGTGGGGGGTGAAAGGGAGAGATCAACCAAAGGTCTTGTATGTATGCATATAAGCCTAACCAATGAAAACAGACACCAGGGGGATGAGAGCATGAGTGGAGAAGTGGGAAGGGGGAAATGGGAGGATAAGGACACACATGTAATACCTTAATTAACAGCAATAACAAAATATTGATTGCCATGCTCTACAGAAAAATAAATGATAAATATATTTACTTTCAAGTACCTGAGGAACGATGGGCAAATCACTAATTCAAGCAAGAAATTTAATATATGTTCACTATTTAAAAGCTCACTTTTGCTAATATTTGATCTTATATATAAACTTAGCATACAGTGGTCTCCTTTGACACTCACATATTTAATAGCATCTTTTCCTAAGATATTATTAGATAAAACTTGTACCAATTTGGGAGGATGAGGGGGAAGGCTATATCCACAGAAGAAAATGGGATAATAGAAAGGAGGTCAAATAGTAAAGCCCAAGATTTTCTAAATTTTTGTTGAATTAATTTAAATATTTGTATTGAAAATATATTTCCAGAAAGACTAACACACATATCATGTGTGCACAAACTACGTAAACACAAAAGAGATTGAGATTTATAGATTATCTCCCAATTTAATTTATCTATATTTTATTTACTCTCTTCTATAGCTACAGTGACTCCATGAATTAATTTCTCAAACTGTGTTCATTTAAAAAAAATTACTCAAAATACTTGCTTTAAAATTCACTCTAGAGATTGAAATTAATTTTCTACTGTGGACACACACAAAAATGTTTATTTAAATTTTTAAATATTCCTTGCTATTCCATTTACAGACTAAGGAGTAGATGCACTCCTCCCGATGTTTATTAAGAAGTACAGCAAAAGGCCTCAACAGTATAATTAAAACAAAAGTAAGAAGATTCTAGAAGGTGGTGGAAAGATTCTAGAAGGTGGTGGATCCTAGGGACCTCAGAACACAAGGAATGGCATAGTGGTAAGTTTTCTTTTAGCCTCAGAAAATGAGATGGCCAGTAACCATGAAATGCCAGTGAGCACAAACCCAAGAAATGCCATCCCTCTCCACCCAAAGGACCATGAAAGGGGGAGAACAGAAAACTTTTGGATAAGAAGCACTCTATGACCACCAGGCCCAATGGTTAAAAACATCAGCTCACTTCCAGCTCTGAGAGCAAAGGCCAGAGTGCTGAGCCCAGACCTCCCTCTCACCCAGCCATGAAGTGCTGCCCCGGCTGCCCCTGAGGGGTAACAAAGAAAGCATTAGGGTTTGAAGGAGTTTTAAGGACTTGCATTCCCACCCAAGGGTAAGAAGGCTCCATCTCCCCCTTTTCCAGTGTCAGAGAAGCTGAGTGGGGAACCAGACTCTTACAACCACTCAGAAACAGCAAGGCTTCCTGACTCCATGGTGCTAGTACAAGCACATGGGAACTGCTACCAGGTAGTCTCCTCCTCCAGGCCAGGGTGTATCAGCCAAAGTCTTCAGGGGGCCTGACATTACACTTTCCCTCTGGAGTAAGAGCACCCCTTCTGCCCAGGGTGTCAAAGGCTGCTAAGTGGGAAAATTGCAATTTCACCCCTACACCTGACATGCACAAAGTGGCCTCCACCTTTCCCCAACCTACGTAGTGTCATTTAAACAAGATAGAAGGTGTCACACAAAATAACCCAAATATGTAGGATTTACCACTCATCATACCAAAACAAACACTGAACACTGGTTTCACTTTTTGCCTTCTTAAAAATAAAAACGAAAATCCTCTTTGGAAAACAGGTACTAATGTAGATCTTTCATAAAAGCAAAGTGGCATAAGGCGTACTTTTCAAAAACCAAAGGTTACCTGTGCCAGCTAAACAGCATGCCTGCCTTTAAGTTCAATTGAGCTATAAGACCTTCTAGTACATTTTCTATCACTTAGTTAACCAAGGCGATAAAATACTCCATAAGTTAATTTATTCTTTTAATCACATGGTATAAAGAGAGAGGCCTTTCTTGGTGCTGAAGTAAAAGTATCTGAAAAAGGTTTCTTTGGATTAAGAAAGATCTTTTTAAATTGAATACTTAAGTTGTAACTCTTAAACTATCACTATCAATAGTAAAAGTAGTAAGACAACGATAATGCCCCTTGGCATTTATATAGTCTTTACTGTAAAAAACTCAAGTACTATATGGCCCCGGATGATTTCTCAGGTATGTTAGTATTCCCATTAACGGACTAAAAAACTAAATTTTCAAAGGTATAAGTCACACTACAGGGCCCGAATAAGTTATTCAGCATAGATAGAAGAAACACTAAGTTCTGTCAGTATTCAGTACTGTGGCTTCTAATAAGCACCTAATTCCAAGTATGGGGCTGGTAAATGTGACCACATACAATGAGAACAGGGAGCACAATATTAGTGCACACTCATTCAAGAACATTGAACCCCCATGACACCCACATTACATGCCAGGTATTGCTCTAAGGAATGCTCCTATTCTCATGGAGTTTACACTCTGGTAGGGGGAAAACAAAAAAATAAACACATCAAAATAAAATAACAGGTGGAGATAAGTGCTATGAAGAGAGGTAAAAAAGAAAAGAAAAGGGGCTAGGGCATGTTGAACATGTACACAGTTCTCATTTTATATAGCATGGTCAAAGGAAGCCTCCACAAGAGCAGTATCTGAAGTTTCACTGAGACTTATTAAAATACAATTTTCAAAGACTTAACATGTGACTCATATAAATATAAACTGAACATAAATCCCAGATTTATCCTACTCACTTATTAAGACTCAATAAATCAGAAGTTGAGACTGGTTCAAAGTGCATTTGAAGATATATATAGATATATTTACTTATATATTTACACAATTTAAATAACAGGTTGTTAAACAGGAAAGAATGCTAGGTTAGAGACAAAACTGGTGATTGTCCTTTATAAAGTTATCTTTTTGAACCAACAAGCATTGCCTCTGGGGGAAAAACATAATTAGCATGTAATAGCAATAAACCATGAGTCAAATAAAGTACATTCTCCTAAATAGTCCTTGGGTAAGTCTATTAAACAATGTTCCCCTAGACATTGAAAGAACACACTGCAGCCTTTTCCTTATTTTCTTGTTGCACATAATTTTTAACAGAGCCATATAGATATCTGGAGGGAAGGCATTCCAGGCAGGGAGACTGTGACTAAATCATAAACCATTTCCCTCCACTCACCACTCCAACAGCCAAGGAATGCCCTCCCAGACAGCCTCACACGTTCACCTGGACCTTATTACCCAGCCTGCTGTACGTAAATAGCTGGGGGTAAAATGGAAAAGTTGGAGAAGCCAAAAGATTTACACTGAAAGGAGAATGAGAATTAAGACTGGGAAATGATTTGACTTAAATTAAAAAAAACCAACACTATTCTATCTGCTGAAATAAAGACTCGTTGAGGAGAAGAGGAAGAGCAGAAGCTACAATAGAAGACCACTGGGGTGACTATTAAAATTATCTAGGCAAATAAACAATCTGGTCAGATGGAAAAGTGCTATGGAGGAAAAAAAGCATCATATGGGCATGTTGGTAGGGGATGTCAGCATTGCCTGAAAGGTGTGATGGAGACTTGAATGGTATAAAAAAGAAAACATGCAGGAAATTAAGAGGAGGAGAAAGAGGCAGGGGAAAGGCAGGGAGAAAGGATAGAAGAGAATATAGGGCCTCGCAAACCATTTTAAGGACTCACTTGACTTACTTTGAGTGAAATAAGAAAACACTAAAGATTTCAGAGGAGAAAAATAACAAAATCAACTGTAAGTATTGGACAGATCACAGTGGCTGCAAGGTGGAGAAAGGCCCAAAGTTAGACAATGACAGAGCATAGAGACTGGCTAGAAATAAAGAAGGCCTACAATAGGTTGGTAGCAGTGACCATAATGATAAATCATGGAAACCTGGATATTTTGAAGATAGAGCCAACAGGTTTCCCTGAAGGAACAAACATGAGTAAGTAAAAAAATAAAATAAAATAAAATAAAATAAAAAAATGATAAATGTGGTTTTCAGCTTTAAGGAATAGAAAGGTAGCATGGCCATTTACTGAGATGGGAAAGAACAGGTTAAAAAAAAGTTTATTAAGGAGGCAAAGAGGAAACATTGATTACAATATATAAAAAAGATTAAATAACTCAGTTCAGGGATTATAGGATTCTAAGTTCTTTTAAAATATAATTTCAAATAATAAAAATCAGATTGTCCAAATTCCAAATTTTACCCATCAGAAACAGAGTATTTTCCACCAAATTGAGTCTCAAACAACTAACCCTCACAGACTCATACTTTTCAAAATTACATTTATCATTAATTTCATCCCTGTTGGTCAATATTTTACATACTGATTGTTCATTAATAAAGTGTTTATTCAGCACTATTTAAAATTACATTACATGCTTCATCAAATGCTTACACATTAAATCATGAGCACAGGTGGTTTACCTGAAGTTCTTTGTATCTGTCTTGAAAAGAAATGGCCTCTTGCTCTCTTTCTTTAAGGAAATCTTTTTCCAAGACATTGTGCTTTTCTATCAATGATTCCACATCCTTAAGGAGAAAAATCCAAGCACAAATTATGTAATGGCATGAAATATATTTCGTTATTTCAATGAACATAGCAGAAAATGTTTGGTAAGGAAAAAGCCCACAGGACATATGATTTAAATTTTAACAATATTATAGATTGTATGCGCCACTCTCATTTCCAGACCAATATCAAACATTGTTATAACACTAAAATTATTCATGCTAATAAATGAATAAAAGCACCTAAGTTGATTATAATCAATACAGTTTATATCTACATATACTTTCATAAATTTGCTAAGGCCCTTTTATAGATATTTTAAGGAAATAGAAATGAGAACATAGCCAAAACCAGTTTGGATCAGTGGATAGAGCATCGGTCTGTGGACTGAAAGGTCCCAGGTTCGATTCTTAGAAAGGCATGTACATTGGTTGTGGGCATATTCCCAGTGGGTGGGGTGTGGGAGGTAGCTGGTCAATGTTTCTCTCTCATCAATGTTTCTAGCTCTCTATCCCTTTCCCTTTCTCTCTGTGAAAAATCAATAAAATATATTTTTTTAAAAAAGAAAAGTAGTGTGTATTTAAAAAAAAAAAGAAAAAGAAATGAGAACATAAATAATTTACTAAAATAGCTGTATATATAAGTACTCTTGTCAAATACCCCATGATGTCTAATGTTATATAGGAATAAGACAATATTACAAACCTGCTAAACTATGTAAGAAATACAATACTACCTGCTTTCAAGATAAATAAAAATAAACCAGAAAAAAAGCATTATTTAGAGAAAACAAAAATATAGTAAAATATGTTCATTTCTTTAAAAGTACACATTTAAGACCAGAGATTTCTTATCAAAGACTTCTAAGTGATAAACTCAAATGACTGGTTTAAACCTACAACCAAGAAAGGACAGTGTCTTCTTCCCCTGATGAGTTTTTAATCAAACATAGGGATTTTATAAAATATCCAGAATGTACAATTTAAACATTTTTAGGGAAATGTAAATATACCTTTTTGATTCTCTGTTTTTCTTCCTCAGAAACTTTGAGTTTAGTCTCCAAACTTGAAATTTTCTGCTGAAGCTGTATGTTTGATACATTGGCTAAAGGATCCTCAGAATCATCCACAAGAGCAATTGTTCCATTACTTTTCTCATCAGTTAAACCCAATGGAAAAAGTGAGATATCCAGATCAGTGTGTGTTGATTGCTGAATCTAAACCACATTAAAAAAAAATATACAAGAGGGAAAAGTTTACACTGTACCAATAATGAAAACATCCAAAGGGCACCAGAAACCACATTTGGAAATTAAGTTGTAACAAGGGTTCCAGAATTATTTCACCCTTTAAGTAAAATCAACAGAAGACCTCAAACCATTACAACAACCTGATCTTTACAGGAAGACACAAAATTTCCTCTAAACTTAAGAGCTTATAAACTTAAGCACTTATTATTTTGCAAGCAAAGCACTAAAAACTTAGAAGTTTTTCATGTCTGAAAGTATATAATTAAGAAGAGGCATATCTAATATCAATTCTTAAATTTATACACACCAGAATTTGCTTATATTTTAAATTGTAAATCAGAATTTTAAATTTATATATATAAAAGCCTAAGCAACCAACAGACTGAAAGACTGAATAACCAAACGACAGACTGCTATAGCATGTACTGACCACCAGGGGCAGATACTCAATCAGGACCTTCTTCCTGGTGATCAGTGTTCTCCCACCACGGGAGCACAGTTCAGCTGACAGAAGGGCACCAAATGCAGGGCTAATGGCTGGCGAGTGCCAGGCAAGTGCCACAGCATTGGCGTGAGCCTCTCCTCATCGGAACTGCCTGGGTGTGAGCAGACACAGTGGGGCTGGCATGAACAGGAGCCACTGGCAGGAGTGGCAGGCGGCATTAGACTGCCAGTTTTGGCTCGATCTCTCTAGGCCACAGTGAGGGACCCCACTGGTGCACAAATCCGTGCACTGGGCTTCTAGTTAATTAATAATCTCTAATTAATCATCACTTCCTAGTACAGATACCAGGTAACTTGAGATTGTGTATAGCATCTGGAAAATTTGGATTAAATCTAGCATCTAGCACAATGCCTGGATCAATACATATTTGAATGAATAAACTCTAAGGCTGCAATCTTTTAAAATTTTAATATGAAATTGAAAAGAACACTCTAATACCTGAAACATACAATAAGCATCCCTGAAAACAGAAATGATTATTCTTTTTTTTGTAATTATTTTCCCATTTGAAGTTCAAGATTTGAAATGTAAATGAAGTCAATTTTAATAAATGGACACTCAAACCATATTAAGATTACTTAATTACCTTGCAATTGTTCCCTAAAACAAACATATTATTCAGAATTCTAGATATTAGCCTCAAAATTAGAGTGTTTACAGAAATATTTTTCAGAAAGTTAAGAAAAGGAATCAGAAAATCTTCAAAAATTAATTCAATCAGTATACAATATATTTTTTAAACATGCAGATTTTCTATAAAGATAGGCTTATCTTTACCTGCGCTTTAGGAAGAGTTTGACTGACGATGGTGGTGTCTGCATGTGTAATCTCTGGTGATGAAATGATGGGCTCAGAAGAGAGGCAGCCGATGGTGGGAGAAGAGTGGTCATGGTCCAGTACGATTGCAGGAGAAGCTGGAGAAAGATGGACTCCAGATACTGGAGGAAAACAAACAAAAAGATAATTAAAGAAAAAATAATAAACAGGTTGAAGGGAAGAAAAGAGAGTGAAGAGAGGGAAAGGGAAAAAGGAAAAGGAAGTAAAAGCAAAATGACTGAAAATGAGAACCATTTAGGAATAGTTATAGAAATCTAAAACTAGTATTTCTAAATTTAACATGATATTTCCATATGAGACTCAAGTAAACAAGATAATTTAATAATGTCTTAGTGTTTACATATAACATATTACCATTAGAAGTGCATTTCTAACTCAGAGATAGTATTTAAACATATTACCTAACTATCAAGTTAGTTCAGAAAAAGCACTAGCATACTTACTAGTGCCAGTCAGAGGCACTAACTTGGCACTGAGAAGACAGCAGTGAGCAAGACAAGTCAGGCATCCATGAACTCAATGGCCTGATGACCCAGTATCCAAGTCAAATCAATTATTACAATGAAGTCAGCAAAGGGGAAGAATAATTACTTTAAAATAATTAATACAACTGTCTCAGTGTTAATTTCTTTTTCAAGAACAATAGATTTTTCATATTAAAGTCAGCCAGTTTGCCAACTTGTTTTTAAAGAAAAAATGTTGAAATACAATTCTGTAATTAGTTTCCCAACAAAACATTATTAGTTTGTGATTAGATTTCAAATACAAAGGTCACAAAAGAAAAGCCAACTGCCAAGCATGAAATAAAACAAAAATATTGATGAAGGCAAAATAAACAGGTTAAAATATATATTAGTTTATTTTCAAAGTAATATTACAATTTTGACAAAGGAAATAATGATATTAAAACATATATCAATCTATGGGACACATCTGTAGCAGTGTTTAGAATTCTTTCTAAAAATTCAAACACATTTATACTATGTATTTCAAAGTTTAAGAAGAGTAAATTATTTTTAGCAGTAATCTATTTATATGTTCTGACTTTCTAAATTATAAAGACCTTTATTCCACATTGGCATGAGTGGCAACCTCAGGGAAGTTCTACCATAAATTCTGGAAGACAGCTCACAATGGAAATTGCATTTTTGCCTGAAGAAAAATATTTATAATGTCAATAGGTATTAACAAACTTAAGAATTTATCAATTTCTGATTGGTATCATACAGGGATCATTTAATTATCTTATGTTTACTTGTACTTTATAGCAATATTGTGTTTATAGAATAGTATGTGCCATACTTGAGAGCAATTCTAGCTTCTCACATAGGCATTTCACTATTTTAACTAAAATACAGAAAACTAGAATTTCAATTCATATTTTACTTGATACATCTATTTCAGACATGACTCTTTTTCTAATCTTATCTATTCCATTTGCTAAGATTTCTCTACAATGTCAAAATATTCTAACTTCTAATTTTAAATTACAATTTATAACAAAAACATAACTAATTTTAAAAGTATGAATTAAGTATTATGGCATAGTAAGAGTGAATACAACCCTGGTATTAAGACTATAAACTCTGGAACCTAATTGCCATGCCAGGTATAGTGCAATAGCAAGTATATTTAACTTCTCTCAATTTCCTTATCTGTAAAATTGGCATAGATTTGCCAATCCTATATAATAAAAAGCTAAAATGCTAATTAGACTGGACTGCTGAACAATCTTCTGATACAACCTTCCTGAACAGCCAGTGCGTGAGGCCGTGGGCTGCAAGGCAGCTCAGGGCAGTGAGGGCCAAGCCCCTTACACGAATTTCGTGCATTGGGCCTCTAGTGAGGTATAAACTGACTAAATTTGTATAGGTTTTATTATTGTGCTTATATTATCTTCATTATTATTTCAAAGATTAAAATTTGTTAAGACAAGTATATTTAATTCTGGCCATAAAAGTGACTATCATCCTGGATTCAAGAAGTTCTTAAAAATATCACTCTGATCAAATACCTGAATATTTTTAAATCTCTATGTTTTTATATTTATATTTATACCTAAGATAAGATTTCATGCTGACAAAGTTAAATTATCAATCCATAACATCATATGAGGAAAACAAGTAGGGAAAGTGGTAGAATAAAGAAAAGGAAGGAGAGAGAGAGGAAGTAAAGAAAAGAGATAAATACAGGGAAGGGAAAGGGAGTTAGAGAGGAAAGTAGGGAGAGGGCAAGAGAGGCATCCTCAACTCAACCTCACACCTTCCACACTTGACCTTCATACCCAAATGTTTTATCTCCAAATGATTCCTGTCTCAATTATCTTCTCACCTAACCCTCATCACTCCACAGAACTCAACAAGTAAGATATTAATTTTCCTTTTAGTTACTATTAAATCAAAAGAACACTCATCTTTCTTTAGTTCTCCAGAGCACTAATACTAATGACCCTCCTTTTCCTGGAAATTTCCCCTGGCACCTGTGAACCACTTTATCCTAGACTTCCTCCTAACATTTTGACTAATTTTTCTTGTTTCCTCTCCACCTTAATATTCACTGTTTTCTTCATGTTCTGATCTCAGTATTCACATTATTCTTACAACTTTCAAAACCCATTATTTAAATTTCCACCTATAAGCTCCACTCTGCAGAGGTCCAGATACATATATTCAACTTTCTACGAGACTGTTCCATTAAGCTACCTAGTAGGTACATCAAACTTACCCATCATCTTACATAAATCTGCTTTGTTTCATGCTTTCCATTTTACTAATAGTATCTCGAAGAACTATTTGTCCAAGCCAGAAATGATACTACTAAGGACTGACTTTACTTTAGTCCCACTGTGCTACTAACAGTTACTGATTATGCCATACTGTTAAATACCTCTGTGACCTCACAATATTACTGCTTAAGTAAAAGCCACAGCTATTGAGTCAGAAATGAAATTTAATTTCAACACTATCAACTTATTTGTTATGTAGTCTTAAGCAAATACAAACCAATATAAACCACTGATTCAGTATTCTGAAAATGGGGAAATATGTACCTCAAAATGATATTATACAGCTTAAATTAGATAATATAATTAAGCTTTTTGGCTATACCAGGTTGGTACATGGTAAACATTCAATAAAAGGAAACTATCTTTTTTTTTTTTTTTTACCATTGACAACATTCAAAAAAAGCCTTTTTAGGCCTCTTTTCACCTACTCCATTACCCACACAACCACAATAAAAGTTTAATTCCCATGCCCAAATATTACAAGTTTGACAAATGAAACAATGGCATTAAAACATTACATATCAATCTATGGGACACATTTGTAGCTATGTTTAAGAAAAAATTATAACTTTGAACACATCAATTTTAAAAAATGAATTAAATTCCCAACTCATAAACTAAATAGAAAAACAAAAAGAAAGCACAATACCAATAATAAAGATAATATAAATCTAAGTAAACTTAAAAAATAGATCTAATTAATAAAAAAAATTCTCAATGCTTAAAAAATACAAACAAAATAGTAGAGAACTGATTAACAATAAAAGAACAAAAGTACAAATATACAAATTAAGTGACAAATGGAACATAATTACAACAGAAGTCTTTAAATCATAAAACTCATCTATAGAATTCTCAGTAAATAAATTTTAAATTCTATTTTTTAAAATGTGCAATACATGACCACAGAAGTATAGTTTATAAAAGTTGGTCTAATTAGAGCTAAAAAAAATTAATACTCTGAAATTGGTCTAAAAGCATTAAAAATAAAGAAAAACTTCCTTAGCTTACATAACAGTAATATAACATTAATAGCTAAGCCTGATAAAGACAGTACAAAAACAAAATATTTAGAGATTATTAGAACAACACACACAAAAAATAACGAGGCAAAAGTTCTAAATAAAATGTTAGTAAAGAGAGTCCTACACAATACTGAGAACAGATTTGTTCCAGGAATACAAGGATAGGTCATTATTAGGCAATTCATCTACTATCTCCATACCATTTAACATTGCACTAAAGGCATAAGCCAATGCAATTAGGCAAGAGAAATTAAATGTATAAAAATAGGAAAAGAAGAAAAACTATCTCATTGTTCCTACTAAAGTCAAACAGTAAACACAATCAGTAAAGTAGAAAGATATAAACTTAATGAATAGAAATGAACAGCATTCATATGTAAAAAATAATAACTATTTAGGGGATTTCATGTTAAAGAAAATATACTTCCCTTAGCCACAAAAAAATGATAAAACACTGAGGAATAAATTTAGCAAGAAGCATGACAAAAACTTTAAAACACTTGTAAAAGACTCAAAGGTATACCTGAACAAAGGTAAAGATATCCCTTATAATTAGTTAGGGAACTATGTATCATAAAGATGCCAATCCTCCCTTAGTTGTTTTACTTTAATTTTTAAAATCTTTATTGTTGAGAATATTACAGATTTACACCCCTCCATTAACTTCCTCTACTCAGTTCCCAAGCCACCCCAAGTCTTTACCACCCCATTGTCTCTGTTCATAGGCAATGCATATACTAAGTAATAAAAGAGTAATATGCAAATTGGCCATTCCTCTGCTATACCCACAATCCACACCCACCAGTCAATCAGGAATGAGTAAGCAAATTAACAAAACCAAGGTGGCTGTGGCCACGGAGAAAGCAGGAGGCTTGGGATTCCCCAGCAATGGAGGAAACCAAGCTTTCCGCACACCCTGGCAGGCCCAGGCCTCCACTCAAAGCTACAAAGTTTCAATTACAGAAGATAAATAAATCCCAACAGAAATGCCTGTGCTTAAGGAGCCAGTTGGAGGCGTGGCTCCACTCAAGGCTACAAAGTTTCAATTATAGAAGATAAGTAAGTCCCAGATACCAGGGCTTCTGCTTGGGGTTTGGGTAAGGTGAACAGACATCCCGCTTTTGGCAGGACCATCCTGATTTTTAACAATTAACAAACAGAAGATTCTTAAAAAACAAAAGATTCTTTCCAAAAACCGGGACTGTTTTAAAATGCCACAGGACACGGGAAAAATTGTTAAAAATCGGGACCGTCCCACCAAAAGCAGGACATCTGGTCACCTTAGGTTTTG